ATGACCGGGCGCGGTCCCAGTCGCCGCGGGCGTCGTCGGGGGACTGGCGCGCCCGCCGGCGCTCCCCGTCGCCGTCCCGTCATCGGGAACGCTCTCCGTCCCCCTCCCGTCCGGCCCGGGTCGGCTCGCCTCGCCCGCGGGACGGTATCCTCCCCACCCCGGACACTCGCCGCTACGTCCCTCCGCACGCGGCCTCCACTGGGGCTGCGGCCCCGGCTCCGGCTCATGGTGGTGGCACCTCCCGCGGCCGTCCTGGGCCTGCCAAGAAGAAGAAGCGCCGGGGTGTCCGCCTCACTCCGACCGTGCCACCCCCCCGCGGGTCCGGGAGCCTCCTCCGCTCCGGGCCCCGTCTCCGATCTCCCTCGCCCCCATGCTTCAACTGTGGGGTGAGGGGGCATTCTCAGGTTGCTTGCGTCAACCCCCAGTGCTGCTACCTCTGCAAGGATCCCGGCCACCCCGCCATTCTATGCCCGGATAGACCGGTGGTTTCAGAGCTCATGATGTATGGGCATGGGATCGAGGGGTTGGGCTTCTTCCACCTCGAGGTCCCGGACGCCCCTCCTCCGTCGCCCTCCCTTCAGGCGATTATCACGGTCGTTGATGGGGTGGCGTCCCCAGAGATGATCGAGGCTGAGCTCAACCACCTCTACCGCCACCAGTGGGACTGGGTGGTCACCCCCACAGCCGGCCACATCTTCTCCGTCGTCTTCCCCGACTCCGTCAGCTTCGGCTACGCGACGCGTAGTGGCCGGATCACTCTCGCGCTCAACCAGCTGGTTGTCGAGATATCCGAGCCAGTACTCGACGCTCAGGCCGTGGCTGTCCTCGACACCGCCTGGATCCTCATCTCCGGTCTCCCCGATATTGCACGGTCCGAGCTCGTCATCCGCCAGATGTCTCGCCTCTTGGGCAAGGTGGTGGTGGTCAACGAGCTCTCATTGCAAAAGGAGGAGGTGCGGGTCAAGGTCAAGTGCCTCGACTCCTCCAAGCTGCGCACTTCGGTCCGGGTCTTCTTCAACGACCAGGGCTTCGACCTCAGGATCGCCCCCGAGCCTCCCAACCACGTTGGGCGTCCCCGCTTCCTCGACGTCGGCCCCCCTGGTGACAACCCGGGGGCCGGCGGAGACTACCACGGCCGCCACCGCTCTCGTTCTCACCGCTCGGATGAGGAGGGGGCGTCCGAGGACTCCCGCTCCCCATCCCCCTCGCCCCCCCTCCGTCTGCGGGGGGCAAGGGCCGCCAGGCCGCCTCTCGCCCCCCGGTGGATGGCCCGCCGATCTCTGACGTGTCGCCATCCGAGGGGAGCGACATCTCCAGTGTGGGCCTGGTGGTCTGCCCGGCCTCCTCCCGCGCTCCCCCACCTCGTCCCCGCCACCTGTGCTGGCCCCGGTCGGCCTGCTCGGCGGCCTGCTCTCCGACTCTTCGGCGGCGCCCGCGGGTGGGGGGACGCCTCCTGTGGTTGTCCCCCCCACTCCGGCTTCGCCTCCCCCCGTCGCCGTCTCCTCCCCGCAGCCTGACGCTCCTCCGGCCCCGTCGTCTCCATGGGCTCCCTCGGAGGCCTGCTCTCCGGCCCCCAGTGCGCCTCCTCCCCCTCTGGCCGCACCATCACCCCCGGCCCAGATCTTCCTCGGCTGTGCTGGGTCGGGACTGCTGCCCTCCCCTCCGTCGTCTCCTGGGGCGGGGGCGGCCCGGATCATCACGCCTCTGGCGGCCCAGCCCCCCCTCCCCGGTCTGCCGCCTACTCCCGTCGCAGTCGGTAGGCCTCCTCCCCGGTGGTGGCCTCCCGCCGGAGTGCTCGGCTAGACGCTGCCCACCCTGAGGGCAGCCCGGCGCTGCCCATCCCCGAGCGGGCGGTGCTCCGCGCTACCGCCCGTAACCTGGAGCCAGGTACGCCCTCCATTCCCCCCTCTGCTTCGTCTTGTTCTTTCTCTGCGCTTGAGTCTGTTCCGCTGGGTCATCTCGCCAAAGTGGCCTCCGACTCCGCGATCATTTTCCGAGGGGAAGTTGGCCCCCCTCTCGCCCAGATCGCGGCCATCAGAGCCCGTGAGGTTCTCGATGGGAAACTTGCGGAGGCCCGGGCGGCCCTCCTCGTTCCCCCAGCCGCCTCTACGTCTGGGGGATCTTCCTCTCCGCCTCGGCCGCAGCCGACGGCCCCTCCTCCCTCGGTGGCCGTGCCGGAGATTCGGGGACGCACCCGCTCCCGCACGGCGGCCCTTCGTGCGCTTAGCGCTTCCTGTGTTCTGGGGTCAAGCAGCCCCCCAATGGCTCCTTAATGCGGGCCCTCTTCTGGAACATCCGCGGCTTCGGCCATGATGGCCGCCGCCGCCAGTTAGTGGAATACATGCGAGATGAGCACATCGACATCGTGGTTGTGCAAGAGACCATGCGTCGCGATTTTGCGCTCCCTGAGCTTGACCGGCTGAGCTCTCACCTCTTTGCGTGGCACTGGCTCCCTTCTAGTGGGAGCGCGGGCCACTCGGGTGGCATCCTTTTAGGTGTGAAGGATGCCACCTTTGAGGTGGGCAGCATGGATAGGGGCGAATTCTTCGTCAGCATGGAGCTTTTCGAGAGGTCGCTCAACTTCAAGTGGGAGATCATCATTGTCTATGGACCGGCCGATCATAGTAGGTCGGCCTCCTTCTTGGAGGAGCTCCACCGGAAAATCTCGGCCGCCTCCCTCCCCGTGGTTGTCGGGGGCGACTTCAACCTGCTGCGCGTTGCGGAGGACAAGAACAATGGCAATGTTTGCTTTGCCCGGATGGACATGTTTAACGACTTCATTGCCGACCTCGCCCTCCAGGAGATTGATCGGGTTGGGGCCCGTTTTACTTGGACCAACCGACAAGCCTCCCCGACCCTGTCCGTCTTGGACAGGGTCCTAGTTTCCCCGGAATGGGACCTCCGATGCCCCCTAGCCTCTCTTCGCGCCATCACCCGGATTGGTTCCGACCACGTCCCCTTGCTCCTCTCCTCCGCGGACGAGCGTCCGCCGATCCCCCCTCGGTTTTGGTTTGAGACCTGCTGGCTTTCCCAGGCCGGGTTTACCGACGCCGTCTGTGCTCGGTGGATCGAGGCTCGGGCCCACCCCCACCCTCGCCCCCCTTCTGCTATTGACGCGTGGCACTTCTGTGCGAAGCGTGGCCGGCAATTTATGAAGGGCTGGGGGGCCAACCTGGGCCGTGACGCCAGGGAGCGTAAGAAGGCGTTGCTCACCGCGATCCAGGCCCTCGACTTTCGGGCTGACGCGGTGGGTCTCTCCCCGGACGAGTGGCTCTCCCGCTATGACCTCGAAGACCAGCTCTCCGTGATTTACACCGATGAGGAAGCCTATTGGCGCCTTCGGGGAGCTCAGCGTTGGGTCCTGAAGGGTGACGCGAATACGGCTTACTTCCAGGCGATTGCCAACGGGCGCCGTAGACGCAACACCATTCCCTGCCTTTGGGATGGGGTAACCCTCCTCCAGGACCCCCGGGACATCCGCTCCCATGTCGACGGCTTCTATCGTTCCCTCTTCTCTCCCGCTCCTCGGAGCGGCATCTCCCTCGCCCCTGATTGTTGGGCCGGCGCCCAACTTGTCTCTGACGCAGAGAACGCGTCCCTGACGGCCCCCTTCTCTGAGCAGGAGGTCTGGGAGGCCATCAAGGGTATGAACTCCTCCTCTGCTCCGGGCCCGGACGGTCTTCCGGTCATTTTCTTCCAGACCTTCTGGAACGTGATTAAACCAGAGGTCATGGCCATCTTTGATGAATTCTTCGTGGGATCTATTGACCTAGGCCGCCTCAACTTCGGGGCCATCTCCCTCATCCCCAAGGTCCCTGGGGCGACTGACATCCGCCAGTTCCGCCCGATTACGGTCATTAACGTGATCTTCCGGATCCTGGCCAAGGGGTACGCCAATAGGGTGACCCTGCTTGCAGATCGGATTACCCACCCTAACCAATCAGCCTTCATTAAGGGTCGGTACATCCTGGATGGTGTCCTGGTGCTTCATGAGGTTCTTCATGAGGTCCGGGTCAAGCGCCTGAAGGCGGTCTTTCTGAAGATCGATTTTCACAAAGCCTATGATACGGTTAGCTGGTCCTTCCTTAGGGAAGTCCTTCTTCGGAAGGGCTTTGACGACCGGTGGATCACGAGAGTCATGCAAATGGTCTCTTGCGGTCGCACGGCGGTCAGCATCAACGGCGAGATCGGTCCCTTCTTCCCTACCCTATGTGGGGTGCGCCAAGGCGACCCCTTCTCCCCGTTCCTCTTCAATATGGTCGTGGACGCTTTGGCATCCATTCTCGATAAGGCTAAAGCCGCGGGCCACATCCGAGGTATTACCCCCCACCTCTCTGGGGGCTCGGGAATCTCCATCCTCCAGTATCCTGACGACACGATCATCATGGTCGAAGGCTCGGAGATGGACATCACCAACCTCAAGTTCCTCCTTCTTTGCTTCCAACAGATGTTGGGCCTCAAGATCAACTTCGATAAGAGCGATGTTATGGTGATGGGATATTCCCCCGCTGAGTCTGTGGCCATTGCCAACAGACTTAATTGCCGCCTGGGCTCTTTCCCCACTACCTACCTTGGGACGCCCATTAGTGACTCGCGCCTCTCTGTCGCAGACCTACGCCCCTCCGTGACCAAGCTCCAGACCAGATGCGAGCCCTGGCAGGGGAGGTGGCTTTCCAAGGCGGCCCGGACTATCCTTATCAACTCCTCCCTCTCCAGCCTCCTCTTGTTTCTTATGAGTTTCTACAGCCTCCATGAATCTCTCCATAAGGAGATCGCCAAAATCCAGTCCCGATTCTTCTGGGCTGGCGAGCATGGCAAGCAGAAGTATCACATGGTCAGCTGGCCTGACATCTGCAAGCCCAGGGAGCAGGGTGGATTGGGCATCATGTGCTCTAAACGGATGAATATTGCCCTTCTATCCCGGTGGCTGTGGCGTATCACGCAGGGTCATGGTGGCCTCTGGCTGGACATTATCCAGAACAAGTACCTGCGTGGTCAACCCCTTGCCTTCTGCCAGAAATCGGGAGGTTCTCAGTTCTGGCAGTCCCTCGTCCAGCTTCTTCCGGTGCTCCACATTGGTACCTCTATCTCGGTGGGGTCCGGCCTCTCGACGCTCTTCTGGTTTGATCGCTGGGCCGGCGACTCTCCCTTTGCGGCCCGCTTCCCCACCCTCTTCTCTATCGCTGTCGTCCCCATGATCTCTGTTGATAGGGCCCTTCTTGACTTAGGGCGCCTCGCTTTCCGTCGGCCATTTGGGCCGGCGGAATCCGCCGCCTGGCGTGAGTTGCTTGACTGCGTTGCTCTGCATGAGCCGGTGGTGGATGGGGATCAGGATCTTGTGCGCTGGCACCTGGAGCCGCCGGGCCAGTTCTCTACCAAATTGCTATACTTGGCCATTGCCCCCTCCTCCGCTCCCCTCCCCCTATAGATGGTGTGGTCCGTCCGCGTCCCCCTGAAGATTCGCATCTTCATGTGGCAGTGGATCCGTGGACGGATCCCGTCCGGTGTGGAGGTCCGCAAGCGTAATGGCCCGGGCACTGGTATCTGCCCCCTCTGTGCTGTTCCCGAGGACTCCAACCACATCTTCTTCGCCTGCGTCTCCGCCCGGTTCCTCTGGAGCTGCTTTCGCGAGATTGTCGGTGGGAGTTGGTGCCACACCAATTTCCCGGACTTATTTGCTGAACTCCAATTGTCCCCTTCGTCCTCTCGCCACATTAGGTGGTTCGAGGTTGGGGTCCTTGCCTGGACGCTTTGGACCGTTCGCAATAAGCTAGTGATCCAGCGTACTCCTCTTCGTCGCGCTACTGATGCTCTCTACAAATTCTCGGGTTTCTTGCAGCTTTGGCGGCCGCTTAGCCGCCCCCTGGATTGGGACGCCATCTCTGCCTTCATCGCCGATCTCCGCTCGATGGCCGCCCGCCTGTCGCCCCCGCCGCTGCCGCCTCCGCCGGAGCCTGACTAGATCGCCTGCACTGGGCAGGCTTTGTTTTTTCTCTTTCTTCTGGGCTTGTTGAGCTGTGCCCTCAGCAGAACCTTAATACTTTGTTGTGGTACTTGGGTGGTGTGTGTGTGGACCTGTTGTGGTTGTATGTCTTGTGGCGGTTTGCTTTATTTATAAAGCGGGGCGAAAGCCTTTTTCGGTAAACATGGTGATGTTTAATTTTGCCTTCTTCTACTTCAGTTGCAGGATCAAATTACTGCAGATACACGGAAGATTATACTACAGAATGAGGATATTGTCTGGGGTGTAAGTTTTCTCATTCCGAACTGATAGATCTGCTCGGGGTCTTGTTAGCGTTAATCTTGAAATATATTATTCTAAGACAGCATTGAACTGTTGATGGCATCGTATGTTTTAGCTTTCTACCTTTTTATTCCTGTGGTAGAGGTCGAAGAGCAGCAGGGGTGGAGCTGCCACTATGATGTTGGGGTCAGCTGACCCCAACGAACTTAGGCAAAACGTGGAGTGAATTGCTGCCAAAGTGCAATGAGTCTTCTTCGCAAAGAAAGTGCAGTTAGTCTTGATGGAATAGATGAGCCCATTGAAATCTTTGGCTGACTGAAGATGATATGTTAGATTGCCGGAGGGAGAAATAAAGGCCTCATAGTAACTTATTGTTCCGAAATATGCAAGGAATTGTTGGATAGGCTGCTTAACTTATTGTCCCGGTGGGTGGCTTTACTTTCCGTGTGTGTATATATCACAACATTGTTTTTATATACTCCCTCTGTCTCAAAATAAATGTACTCTTGTATTATCTCCGTCCGGGTTTATTGGACCTCTTCGTGCTTTGGTCCAGATTTTGAGCATGTATAGACTAATAAAATATAAAGTATATGCTATAAAAAATTATACTGTTAGATTTGTATTTGAAAGAGCTTTCCGATAATATAACTTTTGTAACATATAGTTTACATTTTGTTAGTTAAATTTTTAAGTCAAACTTTAGCCCAAAATAAGAGGGGGCCTAATAAACCCGGACGGAGGTAGTACAACATTGGTACTACTCATTTTAGGTTGTGCATCGTGACCAAGGTGAAGGAAAAACATGTTAAAAAAAAGGTGAAGGAAAAACGAGATGACTTACCGAAAGTACCATTCTACACCCACGAGCAAATGCTCCTGGTGTGAACAGTAAAATCAAAAAAATAGAAAAAAAATTCAAAAAATTCTGAATTTTTTTATGACATACTTTCGCAAGTGTTTCTTGTGCATGGAAAAATTCATCACGAAATCACATTCGTGGAAGTCGTGCCGAAAAAAACAAAATCAAAGCTCCAAAATGCTTTTGTAGTAACATTTTCAGAGCATCGATTTTGTTTTTTTTACCACACCTTTCACCAATGTGATTTCACGATGAAATTTTACGTGCACAATAAACATTTGTATAAGTATGCCACAAAAAAATCAGATTTTTTTTACTTCTTTTTGACTTTTTTTTATTTCACTGTTCACACCAGGAGCATTTGCTCCTGGGTATAGAAACTCCACTTCCATGACTTAATTGCTAATTAATAGCATTGCATGCATAGTGTGTTTGGTAGCCTCAAGTCACTAAAAGCATATACACCCACATCTTTTATTGGTTGATTTCTTTATTTATGTCAACGAGGTGAAAGTTAATGCACCGCGTCTAAGTGTTTTGGAATTGTTTGGTTTTCATAAGATGACTTGTACACTTAGACGGAGGGAGTATAAAGTTGTATAGTACCACTCCCTCCAATCCCTAAAGGCTGGTCATAGTGGGGAGTAACTTAGACTAGTTACTATCTCTATAGTGCATAATATTATAGATTAGTATCATAGATGGTCTCATTTATTGTCATGCATGACACATAGTAGCATCACATTTATTATGTTACAGTATTTACCTATGTTACTATAACCATCTTTCTCTTCTTTAATTGCCTGCCACATAAGCATGTTTGCGAGTCCCAAGTGCATGATACTACTTATGTTACCCCACTATGGCCAGCCTTATACAAGGTCACTTTGTTTCTCGTGTCGAATTTTGATTTAATTTTGGTCAATACAATATGGGTTACATGTCATAAAAAATATATGAGATGGATGTATGGCCACAAGGAATGATCGAGTCCGGAATGATGATATACGAGATAGAGTTGGGGTAGCACCAATTGAAGAGAAGCTTGTCTAACATAGCGGACGGTTAAAGTGTGCGGAGAATGTCAAGAGAGGACGGGGTAGACCAAATTTGACATGAGAGAAGTCCGTTAAGAGATACCCGAATGATTGGAGTATCACCAAAGAGCTAGCTATGGACATGGGTGCGTGAAAGCTTGCTATCCATGTGCCAGAGCCATAAGTTGGTTGTGAGACCTTATGGGTTTCACCTCTAGCCTACCTCAACTTATTTGGGACTAAAGGTTTTGTTGTTGCTGTTGTAGAAAGTTTTTTGATAACATATTTTTTATAGCATATAACTCACCTTTTATTGTTAAAATTAATGGTCGAAGTCAGATATAAACATATGAAGTGGCTTGCACAGTACTCCCTCCGTTCGGATTTAGCAACGTTTTTTTTGCGAAAACCCCCTCCATCTATTTCCGACCGAACCCACGGTCCTCGACCTCACTCTCTTCTCCGGTTGGCCGCCGCGGTCCGTACGGTGCTCTTCTCCGGCTCGCCGCCGCGCTGCCGCCGCGCTCTCCCCCCTTCCCTCCCCTCCCCACCTTCTATCGCGTCGCCGCGCTCTCCTCCCCCACCTTCGGTGGCCTAGCCACGCTCCTCTCCTCCTTCCCGCGGCGACGGATTGGGTTCAAGCTTCGACCTTTGAGTTCAAGTCGGCGACGGATTCCGTCGATGCGAGGCCTTCACCGCCGCCAAGCTCCTGGCGCCGATGGCCGCGAGCTTCAGGGGAGACCCCATCCTCTCTCCCTCCCAGATCCACCACGCAAAGCTCGCCTCGCTCGCGCCTGCTCCGCTCCGTGCCCCCGAGGCTCCGTGCCCTCGCGCCTGCGCCTGCTCCGCTCCGTGCCCCCGACACCCCTGCTCTGCTCCGCCATGGAGGATGCGCTCCGCCATGGAGGATGCTGCTCCACCCCGCCATGGAGGATGCTGCTCCACCCCTGCGCCGCTCCGTGCCCCCGACGCTATGGAGGACGCCGCTCCACCCCTGCTCCAGCCTCAAGGTACTCCACCCCTGCTCAAGCCTGAAGGAACAACCATGGAGCTGCTTGTGAATGTTGCGCTGCTGTTCATCTCTGAATGTTGGGCTCCATATCTGAATATTGAGTGCTCCTGCATATTCTGAATTACTAGTGCATCCAGGAATCATTTAAGTTATGAACCATTGCATATTCTGAATTTTGTTCTACTCGTTATGGTAGTGTTGCTGCTAGATGATGATGCCATGCTCTATGTTGTACTCGATGTTTCAGACTGCATAAAAGTTCTGCATTGCCACTGAACTGGAGCATTTTCTGGTCGCCGTCTTGCTTGCGGGTTTCGCCGGCATAGGGAGGCCACGAGGACCATGTTGGCGACGTCGATCGGTTGGTCGCCCTGCATCTCAAGTAAGCAAGGAGGGAGCTTGCTGCCATCAAGATCACCTGGTACTCCTCCCAATCCTGAATCCAATCTTATTACCTTACCTACAGTAGCAATCTCAAAACTACGTAGTCCTGAATTTTGGCAACTCATCATCTGAAACAATACATGCATTCTGTTTTCTTTCTTGACATTACATAACATCCCTTCCTTTAATACCAAGGCCATCAAATACCAACTGAACAGTCACTGCCCAGTTTTTGATGATCAAAAACCAGTCCTCAACCTGCAAGTTTGTTTCATAAACTGGGCAGTGGCTGATGCATTTGGAAGTTTTGACCTATAAATAGACCCCATTTTCATTTGGAACCAGCATTCTTCATAGACATAGGATTCTTGTTACATGAAGACCATCAAATGCCAAATGAACTGTCAATTTTATATCATCGATGATTAATTAAAAACTAGTCCTGAACCTGCAAGTTTGTTTTTTAATTCCCTAAATAATCTCTTCCAACTTGCAAGTTTTGACACATACAGTACTCCAAATTTAGGAGTACATCTCAAGTAAGCAAGGAGGGAGCATCTCAAGATTCAGTGTAACAAAGATTAGATTCTACAGTACATCAATGTAACAAAGATTAGATTAACTATAATTAGTCAGATATAATTAGTCAAGCTCTCTGTTTGGAGTAGATATAATTAGTCAGATGTGATCCAGTAAGTTGAGATACTTGACTATATCCGGTAAGTTGAGAAACTTGAGTAGATTTTAAAAACACTTTGCTGAATCTACTCCAGGAGTATATGCACCATGTAATCCAGTAATCATCTGACTACCCTTGCTTAATTCCCCAATCGAGTCCTGAGCATCTCAAATGGGGATAATGCTGGTGATTTGAGTGACAACATGGGGAGTACCTTCAGAATACACAATATAACCAACAGTAGAGAATAGATGAATCGATTGTCAGTTGATTGTAGCACTAGCTGACCCCAAGTAAAGAAGAGTTGCTCTTTTCCTGCTGCTTGGAGGCTGCTGGTGCTCTTTTATTGCTACTTGAAGGCTCCTGGTTCTCTTTTCCTGCTGCTTGGAGGCTACTGGTACTCGAAGGGTGTTTCTGCCGCTTGAAGGAGGTGGCTGCTCTTTTCCTGCTGCTCGGAGGCTGCTCGTGCTCTTTTCCTGCTGCTTGAAGGTTGTTGCTGCTCTTTTCCTGCTTCTTGGAGACTGTTGGTACTCGAAGGGTGTTTCTGCTGCTTGAAGGCTCCAGGTTCTCTTTTCCTGCTGCTTGGAGGCTGCTGGTACTCGAAGGGTGTTTCTGCTTCTTCAAGGCTGCTGCGGCTCTTTTCTTGCTGCTCTTTTCCTGCTGCTTCTGCTCTTTTTCTGCTGCTAAGATTGCTTCTGCCTCTTTTATAAAGGTTATGGTCTGTTCAACTAGCTCACGGTCGATAGATAGAGCTATAGGAAGTCGTCCTTCTGCCTGCCGGCGTTCCTTGTTCATGTGAGGGATCGAGTAGTTTATCGCTCCCTTATTTCTCATTACTTCTCGGATGCATGACTGCAGCGTCACGAAGCTTCTAGCTAGCTTATCAACCGGGTAGTTTCGATATTCCTCCTCCACACCTTCTATCAGTTCCCTGATGCTTTGAGCTGCTCTGCTATCATTGTGGGACTGAAGAGACCTGAATATGCAGAGATCAAGAATGTTCATGTCGGGACTGTTTGGAGGCTGTTGAAGCAACTTAATATCCAAATCAGT